TAATAATAATAATAATAATAATAATAATAATAATAATAATAATAATAATAATATATATATATATATCGTATTTGCATTTATTTTGTACGAATTCTTTGTTCTTTCTTCCTTCTTTTTTTTTTTTTTTTTTATAATTTATTTACACTAATAAATTCTTCACGGTATTAAAACCAATGATTAATATTATCTATAAATCAATCGAAAAAATCGAATATATTTCGTAGCATATTATTTTGCAATAATCATTGGATGGATCGATCAATAAGCAAATTAAAGAATTTTTTTATAACAAAACGTTTTACTTATGTATTGTTCTCCAAAATATATATATGTATATATATATATATATATATATATATATATATATATATACACTTAAGTTTTGAAGAGTTTAAAGTTTGAATTGAAATTGTATACGTATATATATACGTTCGAAATATAATAATCTTCTACTGTACGAAGAACTTCTCTAGTTTGCGGACAGACGGGTATAATCTTTTTAGAGAACATTTCTATCTTCTATTTAAGATTCGACGCGGTTAGATGTTGCTAAGCGTATTTTAAGCTCCTCCGGTTGGGTCATGAAGTGTTCGTGAAAAGCGGGGTCCGCGCCAGAAGGCACAAATTGTCCGACGAATATTAGCAATCTGTTTATTGTCACTTTATCATTTCATAGTCAACGGGCTAACAAATTTCAAGGAGATCTTTTTTCGATTCCAATAGTAAATCAATTTATACATATTGAATTATATACATTTCCCGATTGAAAATGGCATATAATAATACGAACGACGATAAATTTTCTTTCATTTTTTTCTACGTTTCCTACGTGCTTTTCTTCCGTATTTTTTTTCTCCTTTTTTTCTTTTGTTATTTATTTATTTATTTTCTCTTTTCAATTTTTCTACTTCTTCTTCTTTATCTTCTTCTTCTTCTTTTTCTTCTTCTCCTTATCACGATTTAAATTCAACGTCAATTTAATACAATTTGCTTATCGCACCAGCTGCTATATCAATGATAGCCACCAATTACATCGTAATCGCATCTTCTCGAAGCAAATCATTCGTTCAAATGGTCGTCCACACACCTCCTAGCTGGAAAGAAATCTAACGAGAGGAGAACAAGATGATGGATGTGAAGATGGTTTGATAAACGAGGATAGAAGCTCGTCAAGCAATTGACCAAAATAATTTCTATTTCCCTTCACTTTAATATAAACGTTTAATAATTTCGTTTGAGAGAGAGAGAGAGAGAGAGAGAGAGAGACAGAGAGAGAGAAACAATATAGAAAGAAAAAATATTATTAAAAAATTTTCTTATTTCTGTACATTTGTTAAAAATATCAAATAAATTAATAAACTATAAGATGAAGATATTAATAATAGTAATAATAATAATAATAATAATAATAATAATGATGATGATGATGACGATGATGATGATGATGATGATGATGATGATGATAATGATGATGGGGATGACGATATTACCTGTTGAAATAAGCCATTAAATGGAAAGCCGTGTTCATGTGTTTATAAATTCCCTTTCTCTGACGCGGTAGGATGTGGTAAGCTGTGAGCACGTTGTCGATTAATATAGGACCCCAACAAATAGCGAAGAGAACCACAACAGCTACTAACATCTTTACCACCTATAGAACAAATATTACCTAGGCTAAAGGAACAAGTATGATAACTGATTGCATCATTAAGTAATTTTTAATAATTTTTCCAAGAAAATATATTAGAAAATTATAATATAATAAATTATATGATATATATGAAAATATATATTAATATGAAAAAAAATATATATTAATATAAAAAAATATATATAATAATATTAATCGATTATATGTTATTGCACTTGCTATAATTTTAATAAAATTCTTCTGAAAACATATTGATTATATATAGAGAGACATATATATATATATATATATATATATCATGTTTTATACATCATATAATATATCTATATAATATATAAAATATATTATAATATATATATTATATAATAATAAATATAATATTATATTATATAAAATATATACATATATGTATATATATATATATATATATAACCAATTATATATTATTCTAGTTGTTATAATTTTAACAAAATAATCCCGTAGAGAAGAAATTGATTAAATATGCAAGAGATACATATACCTGTTTCATAGTTCGAGATTCTTCTTCCGTTTGGCCATTCTCTCGACGTGACCGACGTCCATTTCGCATACTAATTTGTCTCTGTGTCATTGGTATAGATTCTGCGTCTACGTTGTTCGGATTGAGTCTGAAAAAGAAACGTAAAAAAGGAAAGAAGAAAAAAAAGAAAAAGAAAAAAAAAAAAAAAAAGAGAAAGAGAAAATTTCATCGATAATACACAATGATTAATGATATAATTAATGATAACAAATATGAATCGTTTTATTGCTCGTTTGTACTTCCTTTTTTTTCTGTTTTCTTTTTTTTTTCTTTCTTTCTTTCTTTCTTTCTTTACTTTTCTACAATATTAGTCCATTCATAGAAATTCCGTCAGATTCCGTTCGAAAGCTGAAAATCCAAGAGCTAACTCAGCAACGAAGAAATTGGAAAACGGGTATCTTGTTGCTACTCGCAGAGGCACGTCCGGTTCAGACAAAATAAACATATCTAGTTATCGTAACGAGATCGAGGAAGTGGAAAACGAAATATGTTCGCAGACACTCATACGTTCTTTCATCTACGAAAAATCAACAAAAGATTCTAATCGTCTTAATGCTCTCACTCTCTCTCTCTCTCTCTCTATCTCTATCTCTCTTTCTTCAAAAGAAAAAAGAAGAGAGAGATTGAAGGAAAAAAAGAAAAAAAAAAGAAAAAAAACAAACAAAAAAGAAGAATAAAAACAAAAGATAAATAAAATTAAAGAAGAAGAAACCAAATGTCCTTTTCATATATATATATATATATATATCCTAAACTTTAGGATACTTTTTGATGCGGTTTTGTTTACTATTTTTTTTTTTCTTTCTTTCTTTTTTTCTTTTTTCTTTTTTTTTTTTTTTTTTGACTCCTCCTTTACTCTCGATTTTTCGCTTTTTAAGAATGACGTTTGTACATTTAGAGAAAAAGAAAAAAAAAAGAAAAAAAAAAGAAAAGAAAAGGAAAAGCGCGAACTTTTTTGGAATGGTTCCTCGTAAGAATAAGAAAAAAAATAAAAAAAAAGAAGAAAAAGAAAAGAGAGAAGAAAGAAAGGAAAAAAAAGAGAAGAAAAAGAAGTGTATAATTTTTTTTTTTTTTTTTTTTTTTTTTTTTTTTTTTTTTTTTTTTTTTTTTTTTTTTTTTTTTTTTTTTTTTTTTTTTTTTGTTAAAATATTATATTTTTGTTAAATTATAATTCGTATCTCTCGACGATAATTTCGAAGATCGAATTATTCGCAATCCTATCGAAAATCGTGCATTTCATTTTTACGAATATAATCGAAAATGTTTGCAAAATTCGAACGTTTCCAACATTTTCTGTAATCACGGATACGACAAAAGTCATTAGCAGTACTTTAGACGTTCCCTTCCTTCTCTTGGTGGTTCAAACGATCGATCAAAACTTTGTTGTACTCACTGTACTTTAGCACTGTATGAGTTTCACCAAAGAAATTCTCGCCTTGACCGATAACCTAATCACATAGGGAATCAAGAAGAGAGAATTCTATTCGATTCGAATCGATTAGGTATTCATTTATCTATTTATCGAACATTTATTCATTGAAATACTTTTCAAGATTGATATTGACAGCTGATAATCAAATTATATATGATACACTAGTTGAAAACTAAATATCATGATTATATATAAAATAAATATATGTATTTATATTTATTTATAAATATATATATATATATATATATATATAATATAATTAAAATATTTAGAATAGAACGTTCAATGGATTATATAAGTCATAATAAAAATTCACGTTACAATTATAATATAAAAATCGATAGTTTTTCTATTATTGAACTTTTCTTAACATTGGAAAATATTCGAGGTGGAAAATCGAAAAGTCATCTTAATACGCGGGCTAAGCGGTTTCATGTTCACTACGACATACATACATATATATATATATATGTATGATATTCATAGGGTAATACATTTTACTGTAAACGGTAGAATATCTGACGAAGAATTGAAGTTACAAAAAAATTTTTCCTACAAAAGTTCTTCGATATAAAGTAACACATTGTGCGGTATAAATAGTTTTTGTGTGAATGGAATGATAAAAGAGATTTCAAGACTATCGTAATTTTTTTAAATGGAACTACATATTCTTAATATCGCGAGAAGATAATTGAGATCAGTAAGAATACAGCGACTTATAATACTATAACCTTGTTGTGAGACCATGAGTATAAAAAAAAAAAAAAAAAAAAAAAAGAATCCCAAAATTTTATCAATTTACGTAAATAATAATCGATGCAGGAAATAATTATTGGATCATTTTTTTATCGTTGGTACTCGTCAAAAATATGCAAATTTTTTAATTGAACCGTTAAAATGACATTTCTACGTCTCAAAGATACAGAATCTAATTTCGACATGGCAGATATTTTGTTCACGTGCATTGATTTGTTCGCAATTTTTGTGAATTTTTTCTTCACTCCAGAATTCTTTTTTTTTTTCACGTACGGATTACGGTATTATAAATTATCGTTAGATTCGTCTTAATCTCATCTATCATTTCACGTTGATAAAAAAAATAACCGTATTAAAAAAAAAAAAGAAAAAAAAACAAAAAAAAGACAAAAAACAAAGAAAACATCTTTTATAACCTTAAACCTTCCCTTCTAACACAAAAATGTAAAAATTATTTATATATCATAATGTAATTCGTTTATGCTAAACAACTTTCGTATAAATATTTTTTTCATAGCTCTGATTATTCTTAAATTATAAGATCGTTAGCATTTAAATATAACACTCTGTACACGTATACTGTACACTTATAAATATCCAAACAAATTTGAAATTATGAAAAAGTTTATTAAAAAAAAATTTTGTACAGTACTGAATCAGCTAGAAAGTCTAAATAAATTAAATGTAATTAAGTAATTTTTTGTTTTCTCTCTCAATCGTAATACTTTTGAATTATGAAAGATCAATACAATTTTTCAAAATTGTATTATTATCGATATTAAAATTGATATACATTTTAACGACTGATTAAGACGTTTCTATTATATTTTATGAATATAATTACACGTATAAAATAAAAATACATTATTTACAAAACAAACTGTCGCGTATTTTAACGTATTGTCAAAAAGAAATATTACGTAACACGATGATTATTTTTTTAAATGAAAATCATATGAAAAGTCAACTAGACACTTTAATACTTAAGATGTCGATCATTTTTCATCATCGGAGATACAATCTTGACTGCGATTGATCGTTAAAAAGAATTATAGGCATTGATTCAAAAAAAAGAAAAAAAAGAAAGGAAAAAAGAAACAGAAAAAAAGGAATAAAAAAAAAAGAAAAAAAGAAAGGAAATATTTTTATATGCACTTTGCAGCTGACTCAGTAACATGCGAATTTCTCTCTCTCTCTCTCTCTCTCTCTCTCTCTGAGTGAATAAAGTTTCTTTCTGTAAATCCAACCAGTTGCGAGAATATTTGCTCGCACACATTTACGGACTGGCAGAACTGTATAAGTAAGTACGTAAGTACATTCGATCGGTTGGTTCTCTTTGGCTCAATCTATTTTCGAACGATCCAAGGTACCCTCAGATTTTACATCGAAAGGAAATGAGAAAAAAAAAGACGATAAAAAAAAGAACAAAAAAAAACGCACGAAAATAAAAAGGGAAAAACATTAACTATGGCTATTTGCACTTTGAAATATATCTTCCTGTTTATCAAAAAGATTTCCATCATCACCATTGGACTCCATGATTTTTATTGCTTCTATGTTGGTCTCGATTATGTGAGCAATATAAACGAATGGAGCTATTGCTTCGATCGTTTGGGTATCTTCGATTAATGGCAATTTCGTTGCATAACATAACTATGACAAATGGCGGATTTAATCACAGGCGTTAACTCAATATCCCCATCTCCATGTACGATAAAATTCTATATTATTAATTATCACACGATTAATTTAATTTAATATCCGACAAATTATATATAATTTTTATTTCTTATCGTTTGCGGCCGTAATCTAATTTCCTTTTTTTGTCATTCGCGCAAACAGTTTAATTGAAAAAAATATACCTATACTATATATACATACATACATACATACATACACATGGTGATATACAGGTATTTTGGCACCTGAACTTCATCGATTTATCGAATTAATCTTATTTTTGTATCAAGAATGTTTCGAACGGTAAGAGAAATAAATTTCATCACGAATTTGTAATAAGTACATGAGAATATTTACATTGATATATTGCTTATCTATTAGAAACAATTTTACAATTTATTTTTCTATGAAATTTTATTATATTTACAATTATATTAAATTTTATTACATGAAACATAATATAATATTATTTTTTATTATATTATATTTTATAGAGTAGAATATTAATATTATACTACATATTATATTATGTATATGCAATAATAGAATATATATATATATATATATATATAATATATATATACATATATATTATAGAATCAATAAAATAATTAGTATTAATATACACTATAATTATAATATTATAATTATATTGTATAATAATATTAATATATAATAATAAAATAATAATATTTATATATTATGAATACTATAGTATAATATAAATATCATAATATTATATTATATTATCATACTATATTATCATATTCATAAGATCATCAAATATTACGGGGGTAGGGAAAAAAGAAAAAGAAAAGAATTACTTACGCGTGTCTCGAAGTCATATGATAACGACGTTTCATAACTCTCCAAATTTCCCAGCAAATTGCAGTATAACAAAAGGCCATTACAGTAAGCGGTAATAGAAGAACAAGTACGAGCATATAAACCTCGTGTGCTCTCCATAAAAATGCTGCATCAGAATCGCGAACACACCAATAAGCTACAACCCTTTGTCCAACTTCTTTGTGCCTCTAAAGATAAAATAGGAATATTTAATTAATAATATAAAGAAATTTTATTATAATTTATTATTATATAAATTCAAATTTTTTTTCTTTTTTCTTTTACTTTTCATTTTTTTTTTTTTGTTAGAATTTCTCGATAGTTCGTTCCAATCGACTTTTATTTTCAAAAATAAAAAAAAAAATTCAAAAGGAATGATTAAATAGGAAAACGAAATTTTTTCAAATGTCCTTTCTAATATATATAAAAACTTATATATTACTTTAGTATTATATATATATATATATGTATATATCAAGCGAAATTTCATGATATATATATGATATATACATATGACATATATATATATATATATATTATATATATATATATATGTATAATATATATATATATATATTTATACGTATATATGTACATACATATAGATACATAGAATTCTCATCCTCAGAAATTGCATCGACAGTTCATCGATCGGCATATCTTTTTCTTTGACATTCGAATAAACGTCAGATCTTCGTGGAGAAACGGAGTGGTAACGGGAACGTCAACGTACGCTCGTAATACCCTTTCCGCTTTTATCTAGCGTAAAACTCAATTTTTTCTCTCTTTGAAGGAAACTCCATTGGGAAAATGGTAGAGAGAAAGAGAGAGAGAGAGTAGGAGCGAGAGAGAGAGAGAGAGAGAGTAGGAGGAGCGAGAGAGAGAGAGAGAGAGAGAGAGAGAGAGAGAGAGAGAGAGAGAGAGAGAGAGAGAGAGATAGTCTCGGACACGTTGTTGTATCATGGAGAAACCAATGGCGAGAATTAAAAAGTGATCTACGACAAACGACGAAACAGAGAGAGAGAGAGAGAAAGGGAAGGGGGGAGGGAGGGAGGTTGAGAAAGGGTATAAAAATTTATTGCGACCGAAGATAAGATAGCCCGGAGAGAGAGAGAAAAAAAAAAGAAGAAAGAAACAGAAAGAAGAATGGGAAAAAAAACAAAAAGAAAAACAAAAAAAGACAGAAAGAACGATAAGAATAAAAATATTCGGATCGTTTGCTGGTGGTTTATAAATTGAAACAAAAATTGCAACTCTGCAACTATCTCCGTTTAACGTGCTAGAAATTGAAATCGAAAACTCTCGTAACTCGACCCTTTTTTTTTCTTTTTTTTTTTATCTATTCTTTTTTTTTTTTTTTTTTTTTTTTTTTTTTTTTTTTTTTTTTTTTTTTTTTTTTATCAATTTGTTGAACCCGCACACATCGTTCTCGGTAAATGCATTATTTCGATGAAAGCGACGAGATTTTAGAAAGATCGCTTTTGCGTTCTGTGGCAGAAAAAAAAAAAGAAAGAAAAAAAGAAGAAAAAAAAACAGAACGAAGAAAAAAGATGGAAGAGAGATAGGATAACGAAAACGAATAGATAGAATTGGAATAATCAAGCATGTATGAATAATTTAAAAGGCTAAAGTTTTGTACATATGTATATATATATATATATATATACATATATATATATGTGTACATATAATATATTTATGTTAATCTAACCATTTTAAAAAAGAATTTTCAAATAACAATGTTACTGTTCGGTGCATTTTTCATAACTTTTATGATCGACCTATAAAATAAAATATTTTTAACTAATATTGTAATATATTTTTTAATAGTGTAAAATATTTCTAATTAATATTTCGTATCAAGAAAAGGGCAGGAGAAAAGGTCGGGGGGGAGGTTTGGATGGATGGATGGATTCTAAAAGGAAACAATAGTTTTATATATATATATGTATATATATATATTTATATATATAATAAAAAATTATTTTACCTGTGTAAATACCATTGGTATACCTAAAAGAAATGAGGCAGCCCACGTGATTATTACTATTCTCCTTGCCTGGCTTATCGTACAAGTATACTGCGCTCTCATTGGATGAACGATGGCATAATACCTATACAAAAAAATTTATCAGAAAAAAATTTTCATTTATTCTTGATACATCATTTTTTTGATACATTTCTTGATACCATCAATGATTGTGATCACAAAAAAGAAAAAAAGAAAAAAAGAAAAAGAAAAAAAGAAAGAAAGAAAGAAGAAAAAGAACAATACATGGAAAGATTGACATAAAGAAATAATAATGGAGAAAAATTAAAAAGGACACGAAGTATTATGACAAATTTTGATTAATAATAATATTAGATACTCATCAATTAAACTTCAACGTAATACCATTGAAATGTCGTCAGGACAATGTATCCTTTCAATTAGATTATGCATATTCATATAATCATATTAAAGATTAATGCGAAGCAATAAATATTAAAATATATTTAACCATAATAGGTAAAGATACGTACAATTTATATCTATATATATATATATATATATATATATATATATATATATATATATATCAATGGGATCTATTCCAGTATGTCTAATATTGCGTAGGATCCTATCTACATAAGTAGATCCATGGAAACGAGAATACACATAGGAAGATAAAGCCGCAGTGTAATAAAGGAGTAGTTCTATCGATTAAACTCATGGTATGTGTTCCATTTATATATTCCTATATTTATCTGTATAAATAGAAACGTTAAAGAAACTCAAGTGTTCGATATACACGAAAATTGTAACGTTCAATGTTTCAACAAACAATTACGAAATCGATTGATTGACTTAACGTCAAATCAATTTTTCTCATTTTATCATGTCAAGCTTTTCAAATCATGGATGTTATTTATTAGAAAAAGAAAAAAAGAAAAAGAATAGAGCAAAAAAAAAAAAAAAAGGAAAAGAAATAAAAAAAACACGTGTACGCGAATACCACGTAGTAAAATTACATGTATATATATATATATATATATATATATATATATATATATATATAACAATTTTTCACTTCTCCTAATTAACTTTTTTTCGACGTATACCAAGCATCCCCCATCACAACCTTCCTCAACTAACCCCAATCCCACTAAACCAACCACGCTACTTCCCGCCCTACTTCCAAACGTAATCTCATGCAATAACTTTTGCTAATTCTCGTCACCCGTTAATCACGATTTGTTGCGTACAATAAATGAGATTCCACAAATACCGTGTGTATGAAATATTATTGTCACACAGTATGTAAATATATATAAAGAGAGAGAGAGATAGAGAGAGAGAGAGAGTAATTATAGTAAAACGTTTATAATATATCAAATATAATTTCACGAAATTCCTCGTCATCGATGATACGTCAATAAACATTCATTATTACTTATATCATTTACGAATAAATAATATATTTCTAAACGAAAATTAATATTACATATTAATCTAAATAACATCCCATATTACAATAAGTGAATATTACTAGCAAATATTTCTAATGGGAAGGACATTTTATTCGAACGATACCACGCCAATCGTCGACTTTTACGAGAGATCTCAACAAAAAAAAAAAAAAGAAAAAGAGAGAGAGAGAGAGAGAGAGAGAGAGAAAGAAAGAGGGGAGAATATCCTTCGTAGTATAATAACCATGTCGACGAAATCGCCTAATGGGCCGTTGAATCTCGACGGATCATTTGCATGGCATTCCAAAAATACGTCCATTTTCACGACACTCCACGATATTCCTTCTTTTTCTTCTCTAACTTCGTTCTCATTTTCTCTCTCTCTCTCTCTCACTCTCTTTTCATTTAAAACGTTCAAAAAAGGGAAAAAGGAAGAAAGGAGAAAAAAAGAAAAAGGAAGAAAAGAAAAAAGGAAGCGAAAAAAAGAAAAAAGAGAAGAAAAGAAGAGAAGAGAAAAAAAAAGGACGAGATACGAAAAAAGTTCAGTTCCTCTCTGATTTTCGGACCGTGATCTTCTTCGCGAGCCGATATTTTCCTCCCCGCCAACCCTTGTCCCTCTCCATCCCTTCCCTTGTCACACTCATCACGTCAAACCCCCTCTCCCCACCCACCCATCCCATCTTTAACTCTCGACTATCAACCGAATACGCTAGCATGAATATAAATTGCTCTGCCACACGGGTTTTCATCGTGACCTCGACATCCGCCAATCAGTCGGCCACATTTTCCACGATATAAAAAGGACAAATGAATCGTTCGACTCGTATTTCTGCGATAAGAAAATTTTTTTGTCGATTTTCGAGAATTTAATTCGAATTTAGAAAGGGAAGGAAAGGGAAGAAAAAGAAGAAGAATGAAGGTGAAAGAAAAAGAAAAGGAAGAGAAAACAAACAAAAAAAGAAAAGAAAAAAAAAAGAAAAAGGAAAAAGAAAGAAAGGAAAATTATCGCGGACAGCAATGAGGGGATAATAATTTTTATTTTGTTATTTATTCCATACCCTCGTTGATATATCAAAAACATGTCCATGGCACACCTATGGTTTTGTTTTTATCTGTTTTTATTTCTTTTTCCTTTTTTTTTTTTGTTTTTTGTTTTTTTTTGTTTTCTTTCTTGTTTTTTTGGTTTTTTCTTTCTTCTTATATTAAGCGTATCATATTTCTATAAATGTCATTGGCAATGTTTTACAGTTTTATTGATACAGTATTATGCTAATGGAGAAAGGATGTACGATGAAAGCTTTTGACAAAAAACCACGTTATTTCTACTGCGAACGGTGTTAAAGTAGAAAATGGAAATATTTTTCTAAAAAGAATTTCAATATATGAAACGTATGGGAAAAACGTAAACGTCGGTACTAAATCAAAGACACTTTATTTCGAAGTAAAAAAACAAGAGAACTGAAGAGACTAAAAAGAGAGAAAGGGAGATAATGGAAGGGATACCTTCTTCGGGTAAATTTTCCAAGAAAATTGTATGAATTTTATTTGACAAAGACGAGAGAAGAATGTTCTTGATTTGAAAATAAATGTGAAGTTTTTTGCAGCTTCTCTGAATTTTAAAAGAATATATCGAAATAATATTTTTTTATTAGAGATCATCGAAATAATGTATATTATTAACTTTCACGTTCAAAATCTTAACGTTCGTTCTTACGTTGAATTAATGATAAACATTAAAGTATTTAATATTTAATAAAAATATTTGACAATTAATTTTATTAAAATATTTAATAATTTTTAATTAAAATATTTAATACGTTAACGTAAACATGAAAAATATTACTTTATAATTATTTCTATATTGAACTAATAACTCTTACATATACTTTATCACTTATATTATATTATTTGTATATTCATAAACAATTAACAACAAGTAAATATTCGTATATCGTAAATTATACAAAAGATTTAAGAAATTAACGTTTAAATCTTACGTCTTACCTTTCAATCGACATGGCTGTGAGTGTGACGACGGAGCAAATGGCCGAAACACTTTGCATGTAATGCACAGATTTACATAGGAAGAGACCCATTTTCCATGTATATGAGAAGAGCTTTGCGATCTGAAACGTTATTGAAGTTAGTTGGATTATTTCATGAACAATTTGTACGATGGATTCAATGATTTCATCATTTCTAACTTTAAATTAATTAAATTAGAAAAAGATCCTTGAAAAAAGAGAAAGAGAGAGAAAGAGAGAGAGAGAAATTTCTTCGATAAAATGCTGTAAAAAGGGAAGCGACTGAAGAGTAAAATGAAATGAATGAAAATAAAGAAAGAGAAAGAGAGAGAGAGAGAGAGAGAGAGAGAGAGAGAGAGAGAAGGAAAAGAAGAGATGAAACATGAAATAGGTTACCCCTTATCCCTCTTAGGTCAAATTTAGACTTTATTTAACGTTAAGAAAGATAAGACAGCTCGAATTAAATACGTTTAATCAAGTTGTATTTTCACGAAGAGAAAAGGTAAATTATGAAAGTCGTTAAGGGTATATTTCTTAGAACTCACTAATGAGGACAGTATGACACCTAATCTTGATTTGTAAACTGGGTATAAAGGTTCATCGTTTAAATCTTCGTTCTATAAACTTCGATGGTATATAATGATATCTTTTAACGAATACTATAATTATAATATATACAACTATATAACATAACACCTTTGAATTACGTTCGAGTATCCGTATACCCGAGAGTGTATATTAATTATATTTAATTATGAAAAATTTCTTTGATCATTCATATTTCATGAAACTTAGTGTGAACTTAACGAGAGAATAGAAAATATCTGGCTATTGTCGTTGTCTTTCTTATCGAATAAACGTACTACGAGATTACCGTAGGAGGCTGTAAATGAGATTAGCTATGGGATTAGACCGCGCCTGTAAATAAATACCTTTTGTAAGAAAACAAAAAAAAAAAAGAAAAAAAGAAAAGAAGAAGGTCAGAAGAGGAAAAAAAAGGAAAAGAAGAATTATACGTTATAAAAATGATTTAATTTGCGCATGATGATACCTCAACAAATATAACATTTTTATTTCGAAGCTTACACGGTTCTATAATCTTCGTATTTAATTTTTATTTCGATTTAATTTTTATACACGACTATTTTCATATGTCCCTTTAAATATAAGTTTTATACTCAATAAAATATAATTATACTAATTGTATATAATTAAAAAAAAAAAAAAAAAAAAAAAAAAAAAAAACACGAAAAGAAAGAGAAGGAAGTATCGTCGATCTGGAATTAAAAAGAATTGTCGAAAATTCTAAATGGAGAAATCCTTGCTCGTTTAAAGTTAATTAATGCGCGAAATAATCGAGTTAAATGTAAATTAAATCGGCTTATTCTCGAATGCACCGAATCGGTTTCGAAATCGAAACTGTAAAGCCATTTACAGAAGACATTTACATCGTATTACCGAGAAAAAACATGGGATGTTACGCGAGGATATACTTGAACAAGTATTCTCATGTGCACTTTTTGTCACGTGCTTACATAACTTTTCTTTCTTATATAGATAACACTATTGTCTCTCTCTCTCTCTCTCTCTCTCTCTCTCTCTCTCTTTTCTCATCATTTTACACATAACATAAATATTGATACATATACGCACCAAGATTCTTTTAAATCGAGACACCTAAATAAGTATTTCGAGAAAAAAATTCGATGAAAATTTTCCTTAATATTTTTTTTTTTTCGTATTTTTAAATAGAATACCCATAATTTTTTCTAAGGGCGATTAATTCTATCAAAAAAAGAAAAAAAAATAAACTAGCAACTTTTGTCTGATTAAAGATTTTCTCTTAGAGCCATTATATCCTACAATATTTATCATTATATTCAAAGCAAAATGTTATGGCATACTTGAAAATATAGGATAGGAAACTGACAGGGCACGATGGCATGGAAAGGGATAGGAAAGGGCCGAACGTATCAGGACAGAACAAGAAAAGAACAGAACTGGTTATAACAGGAGAAAGAAATGGGAAAAGGACGAATAAAATTGGAAAAGATAAAGTAGGATTGAATAAGATCTAATAGAATCCAATAGGATCAAATAGGACCAAATAGTATCTGTTATTAAAAAAAAAAAAAAAAAAAGAAAAAAAAAACAAATAAAATAGAAACGTCTTTGTCCTCCTGTCCTTTCCTGTTCCCATTCCGTTCTGTTCCGTTTCGTCTCATCCGTGTCCTGTCCTGTTCCATCCAATCCAGTCTTATCCTGTCGTCTCCCATTCTATATTTTATTATAAAATATAAAGATTGTATAGAAAATCTGTTAAAAAACCATTGCTTATTGTTTATTTTTTTTTTATGCATTAAATAAGATGCCGTCGAAAAAATTAGTCATTCATTTAAAAAAAAAAAAAAAAAAAAATAATAATAATAATAATAATAACAAAATACAATCATTTTAGTGAGAAAAAAAGAATTTTGTTTCGAACTTCTTTTTAAAAATACATTGTTTTTGATTTACTGAGGGGTTTCCATTTAAAAAAATTCACACCGTATATATATATATATATATATATATATATATATATATATACACAAATATTGTACATACACATACACACACACATTTACACACATATGTTCCCTTTATGTCATAACAAATATTATAACTCGTCGCTACATTGATATAATATTGCATTCGATTCAAAAAATGTATGCTTAATATAACACGTATATATTATACATATGTACGTATATGTATGTATATATCTACGCTAGATATGCCGATTGTACGCAGTACTTGACTTTGGTTTGCCTCTATGTTAAAAATGCTATTTGAATCAAAATATTTCTTGAAATAACTATAACTATAACTATTAAAATTTTAATTGCTATTTTCCTAAATTACAACCTAATTAAATTTGTCCGATGATTACTCTTTTCTCTTCACTTTATATAAACATTTAAAGATTATAATTACATAATTTACAATTATAATAATGAAAATGATATATGACGTTTTATAAAATGTCTTTTTGATCAAGTTCAATTTTACTTTATTATAATATTTGCAAAATTATACTGAAAAAGTTAAAAAAAAAAAACTGATAAAAGAAGAAGACAATATCTTCTCATATCCTACGATGCAATTTTCATTTTCTTGAAGAAAAGTATTATCACTGAAACTCAACACACACATACACACACACACACACACACACATATATATATATATATATATATATACACACACAGAGAGAACAACTCAGCAACTATTCCTGTAATTACGCTTGCGATTTTAGAGAAAGACGAAGAGAGAGAACGAGAGAGAGAGAGAGAGAGAGAGAGAGAGAGAGAGAGAGAGAGAGAGAGACAGAGAGAGAGAGAGAGAGAGACAGAGAGAGAGAGAGAGGAGTAGTATGCAAACGTACGCTTTAAATTAACACTCGAATTTCCAACTAGTTCAAACGATAAATCAATTATTTGTAAATCAGTAAATATGACACTTGATTTGATAACGAGTTTTTACAATAAAAAGGATCTTCCATTCGAGTCTATACGAATCGGTAATAATGAAAACAATGTAAATCGTATGTACATTTATTTTTTAACATATTTCGACATCATTAATTTAAATAATATAAAAAGTGTTTTTTTTTTTATAATTACAAATTGAAAAAAAATTACGTTTACATTTAATACATTGAATTCTTTTAATGTATGCTAATTAAAAATTTTCGAAATACCATACGAAAACAAAATACGTATGCCTTTTAAATATTACCGAGATGACTCGGATTATTTTTCTAATTGTCAGTTCATATAAAAAAAAATTACTGTAAAAGAAGTAAGAAAAATAAAAAGATTGCGTCGTAGTAACATTGAACAATATGACAAAAGATTACAATTATTATAAAGATTATTGTTATAAAAAAAAAAAAAAAAAAGAAAAGAAAAATCAAAAACATTCATACAGTCCTCAATCGTCCTGAATAGTTTTACCCGATGAATGATTCGTATAAATCGCTTTAAGAAAAAAAGAAAAAAAAGGAAGCGAAAAAACCGATAAAGAAAAAAGAAAAACAAGAAAATAAAAAACAAATAAAATAAAGAAATACAAACGAACAAAAAATTGTAAATAATAATATCGAAATTAAAATCGTTGTAAAGGAGTTATTGTATAAAAAAAAAAAAAAAACAAAAAAAAAACAAAAAAAAAGTAAACAAAAGGAAGAAAAAAAGAAGACAGAAAATAATAGGAAAAAAGAATAATTGTGAACTTTCGCATAACGATTCACCGTGAAATATTCTCCCCCCCCTTGGGTGGGATGAGGGAGGATAGGGTGGAATGGGGGGAAAGTAGGGAGGGTTATTTAAAAGCAAAAGTTTGAGACTTCAAAAGCATTTAGTCGGAAACGCGTTCGACAAGGCGATATCGCACATACGTAGTCGAGTACGAGCTCAAATGAAATTATGTCTCAACCACGAGGCAAAAGCTGCTACAGGCAGCGGGTTAATGCTCACTCGATGAGAATTTATGAGAGCATACTTGGCGCGCGCGGGCAAATAGAAGCTTGTTTTCGTCGGTCGGCAATGCTTCGAGAGCTTATATTGCCTCTAACTGTACGAGAAAGCTTGCGAAACGATTCACGAAAGCTCTCTCTCTCTCTCTCACACACACACACACACACACATAAATCGATCCTGAAGTTCTTTTCATTTCGATCATTATACAGTTAATAATATTTAAACGCCGTGCAATTCATGAAACGATTTATCGTTCGTTGTTCGTCTAATTATCACTCGAAGAAAATTAATAACCGATATGGTTTAACGCGTACGCTTATCGACCATAAATTTATGATAAAAGCTCGAAGATAATGGAACTGCATTACGATACACATACACACGCACACACACACACACACGCACGCATGATAACGAGTTTGTATTTACAATGATACGACTAGTCGAACGGGAAGAGTTTTATCGGATTAACCTGGAAAATTCAATATCGCACGTTCAAGGCTTTAAAAATAATTAAAAAAAAAAAAAAAAAAAAAAAAAAAAAAAAAAAAAAAAGAGAAAAAGAGAAAACATCTAAAA